TGTCATCATTTTTGTGCAGAATTCAACTTTCATTCAAAAGTAAGACAAATTTCCAGGCCCTAATGGTGGTGAAGAAGCCATCACCCCCCCCCCCTTGGGCAGTTCTTGTTGGCATCTCAAAAGCCTCAGGTGGGCTCACGTAAGGTTTTTGTTGGTCAGGATTTGGGGCTTCAGTGCGTCACATAAATTATGCAAAGTAAATGCATTTGTTGAACTTACACAAGCTGCAGAATTCATTCTTTGCAGAATTCATCTTCTTGAATGCAGAATTCAGCATTGGCAAGCTGTTGTTATACACACTCCCTCTCTGCCCACATGGAGAATATGCAGCTCTTTCTGAGGGCCTGTTCTTTTTTGGAATCATTCATTCCAGGAGGAACTGGTTCACAACTGATGGTCATCTCTCTCTTGTTAATATTTGGGAGACTTTGGGGAAGTGTTGCCGGATGCTGTAAGACTGGCTGTCTGATCACCTGTGGAGAGTGAGAATCTCCCCTAGGGGACCAGCCGGGTGTTTATATTAAGATATGTCACCGATTAAGCTGGCAGGTTGGCTGTGGTATCCAGTGCATGCTCAAGGAGAGGGGGGAAATAAAGAACTACAAAATGCCAAATCAGTGGCAGAGGACCCCGCTGTTGGAGGGGAAGAATGCTAGAGCAGAGGTGGGTAATCTCAGGCCTGGGGGCAGAATGCAACCCTTTAGGATTCTCTGTCTGACCCCCCAGGACTCTCCCTAGGCCTAGGCCTCTCCTCAGGCCACACACTCTTTCCCCTAGGCCAGACCCCTCACTGGCTCTGTTTTGTGCCCTCCTCGTCTGCCTTTGCCTGGCTGGCATTGACTTTGGCCCCACCCATAACCGGCATGTGGCCCCTGGGAGGCTCCTCAATAGGAAAGCTGGTTCTTGGGAAGGGGGAAACTAACCGCCTTCCCTCGTGCTTTAGAGCACTTCAGTTCAGGCAAGACACAAAATTTGTCAGAAGGGCTGGCAAGGCGTTTGGAACAGTTGCACTTTGTAGCATGGCTCCCCCCTTCCCTTGCTGATCAGCGCAGGCTGCTCTGTCCTGGTGTGCTCAGTTGTTGAAGGAAAGTTGTGGGTGCTGGGCACAAGGTGTGTCTGTAGTCCGAAAGTGAGGGCCACCTTGGGTTTCTAACCAGAGAGCGGCTAGCAATGTGCCCTCAAGTTCCCATGTGTGTTGTGGGGCCGGGCTGTTTTGCACAAAGTGTCCCGTCACTGCCAGAGTTACCCCTTGTGAATTTTCGAGCACGCACAACATGTAAGAGAAGGTTGTGCTGTTCCTGAATTGAAAACGTATAGGATGCCGTGTGATGGTTAGCGACTTGGAGGGCTTTGAAAGATTAGAGTAATTTGTGAAGCGGAACACTGTGGCTACTAGCTGTGAAGGCTGTGTTCCTCCTCCATTGTTGGCGGTAGCATGCTTCAAAATACTAGTTGCTGTAGACATCAGGTGAGGAGAGCTGGTGTTGCACCAGCGACCTGCTTGTAGGCTTCCCATAGGAAATCTAATCCAGCAGGGATGCTCTTACGTTCTGCTTCCCTGTGCATGCTGCCCATGGCCCATCTACGACTCTACCTCCATTTTGCCTCTTCTGTCAGCATTACTGCTGCTGGCAGTGTTTTCTGCTGGCCTACCAGGGGAGTTCCACCAGCGTAGGTGTCACAACAGTGTCACACCTTGCAGTGCTTCTGCTAAATCGGAATAGCCCTCAGCTGGCAGATGTTAAACACCTGATTGTGCCCTGGCATCATGATCCTATGCATCTTTACTCCAGAGTAAGTCCTATTGAGCTACTCCCAAGGATGTGTGCATACAACGGTTGCCTAATTCTGCATTGAATCCAGCTGGTTTTACTTCTGAGTAAACACACGGTTGCTTGGGCTGCACGAAGGGAAACTTTAATATAGGTCACAAATTATGAACCATGTGTGCTACCAAAAATGTTTTGGGTCTGGTTATTTTCATTTTGAAGATCTGGGCTTCAAAATCTGAAGAGATGTTTAGTGCTGTGCTGTTCCACCAAATTTTAAAAAGAATTTTTTTAGCGTAGGACTCAGAGAAGGCGTTCTGGGACTTTCAGTAAGCAATAAGCTTACTCCAGGTCATAAGGAAAGAAGCATATGTTAAAATTGCTTTTATAACGTGTATTCTCATTCTCTTGCTTAAAAAATAAATAAATTCCTGGAATGATATATCTTTATTTCCCGTTCTCTCCTCATCCACCTTTATGGGGAAAGCTTAGTACAACATGATGGGATCTAGTTGTGTGTACAAAGAATTCAGATATGAAACACTGCCAAAATATGAAACGCTCTCAGCAAGAAAAAGGTCTAAGATTGTATTTGCAAGACAAGGCAAAGGGCTTTACAGGATGCAGTGGCTTATAGGGGGGATCCAGATGAGGAGTATTTTCAGTGTTCCTCCTCCAAAGTGGCTGAGAAGTTGAATGCTACTTCTGCGAAACCAGCCATGGACATTAGGAATAGAGAGAGGGAGAGGGAGATAGCATAGAGGTGCTTTTCACCTTCCTTCCCTCCCCACCCCCTGTTGCTTGAGGGATTTGCACTGCGTTCTGCTGCCAGGCCAAGTTCAAGGTATTGACTCTAACATAGAAGGGTGCTAACGCATGAAGCATGATACAGCTCAGGAGCAGGTTACTCGAAAGACCACCTTAGCTCTTATATACCAGGTAGATCTCTGCAGTTTGCGTGAAAGTTTCTCCTGCAGATCTCGGCAGCCTGCTCCACAGCAATTTGGAGCAGGGCTTTTGGTGTAGCTGCCCCTGTTTTCTGGAACTGCATCCCTTTCGAGATACAACAGGCACCTGCAATTGAAGGCATTTCTGCTCCAACAGGGTTTCCCAGCTAGGTGAACTGGCATCTGCCATAGGTGGCTACTTCATATCATTTTTAAATGTACCTGTGTTGTTACTTTCTATGTTGTTTTTAAGCTGTTTTTTCCCCGCTGTTCTTGTTGCATTTTGTGCATTGCTTTGGGTGGTTGGGTGGAAAGCGATAGATAAATAAATAATACCCCCCCCAAAAAAAAAACCCACAACCCACCAGCATTGCCCACCAGCCCCCTTTTAAGCTACCTTCCCACCATCAGAATCTATTGCATGAGTGACCTTACTAGAACCAACTAAGATCATCTAGGGAAGCTGATAGACTTTAATTTCAAGACTAGAAAGGCAGACTCCTCCGTCACACAAATACGTCATCCCAAAGTGCCATGGTGGACTGCAGGAGGCAGGATTACATGGAAACCACCTACACCCGGGGCTGATCTTGCTCCTCTCCTGTTCTTGTGATTTAGATAGAGGTCCTTTCTTGTCCCTTGGAACAGGAAGGCAGCCTGTCGAGATGTAGAAGGGTGGCACACCCAGTGAATTTCCGAAGTGCAGAGAAACTCCCCTTTATGAAAGTAGTGCATCCAGCCTCCTGTAAAGACAACAGGTTTTTGCCTGGGGGATCCAGATGAGTAGCGTTTTCTGTGTTCCTCCTCCAAAGTGGCTGAGAAGTTGAATGCTGCTTCTGCGAAACCAGCCGTGGACTTCGGGAATAGAGAAAGAGGAAGGGAAAGAGATAGAGAGAGATAGCAGAGAGGTGCTTTTCACCTTCCCTCCCCATCCCCTGTTGCTTTCCTCTCATTTTCCCTTGAGGGTTGGCTCCACTTTCCCTTTTATTAGAACAGGACCTAATTGAGGCTCAGTTCTGGGAAGCCAAGTTTGAATCATACTGATCCCGGCGTTCTTCAATGAGAAGTGGAACTGAGGGGGAAGGACAGACCTGTCATCTTACGGCACCAGACAGGTTGGCAGCTCCCATGGGTGACATCATCACAGCAGTCTGCCAATCAGGATGTGGTTAGGGAGCCATCCACACACTCGTTTCCACTTCGGGAACCCTAAAGTGTATGTCTGGGGTGGGGGCAGCAAATGTGGTTTTATCCAGGTAGAACCCACAGGTCGCTATCCTGTTTGGCCGCGCACAAACACTCAGGCACGCGCATGCCCCCCGCCCGCCTGCACCCCTCCGGTTCACTGCGGACCGGATCAATTTGGACGTCTTCAGCAATAAAAAATGCCGATGTCGTCCTAATTCACCAGGCCCCGAGATGACAGCAAATTTACATTTTTTAATTAAACTAGCAGCCAGTTTTTATGAGAGGGGGCTGGGTTATGCAAATCAAATGGTTGTGTACGAAAGATTAGGAGAGTTTGGGAATAAATTCCACAAATGCTAATAAAAAAGAGAGAGAGAGAGGGAAAGAATGAGAGGAAGAAAGGAGGGACATTGTTCCATTAGCCCCTTTTAGACTGATTTCCCTGGAGAGAAGTAATGGGGGTTATGGGGGGAGGGAGCTTTCAAAGACAGGTAACATTAATTTTTAGGATTGAAGGCTTTCTAGGATGGAGACCCTTCCCTGAGGAGCATGGCAGTTGGGCAGCAAAAGAGGAGGAAACTTATTAGCTGTTCCGTTGGTGCCACTATCCCGCAAAGACCCTACTGAGATTAGGACCACAAAGAGAGAGTAAGGCTCCTGTATGTGTCCACATCAGGGACACCCACTTGCTGGGCAGACTTGAAAGCAAGGAGCTGGACAACACACATGAAGATGCCGAACATTCTGCACGCAGAGCTTGGACTGATATGCAGCTGCGGTGCGATCCGACACCTCTAGGCTTGTGGAGACATTTTGCACAGCAAGGAAGGGCTGCTTAAAGTAGCTAGGTGCGACCTGAGGCACAGTCTTGAGTTATTTAAGCTGTGGCCGCACAGGCAGCACTGATATGTATCAAGCTCCATTCGCTTAATTGGGGATCTCCATAAACCTTAAGAAGGAAACCAGGGGTTTTGCAGAGCTTCACAAGGACATCCCTGCTCCTACAATTCTTGCATTTGCAGTGCCTCAGTCACAGAATTCTAGAGTTGGAATGGACCACGAGGATCATTTAGTCCAACCACCTGCAATGCAGGAATCTTTCACCCAAAGTGGAACTCAAACCCGCAACCCTGAGATTAAGAATCTCATGCTCTAACCAACTGAACTAAGAAGCCTCGCTGAGGAATTTGCATTACGTATGCAACGCTGCCTTCTTGTTGTAGCTTCTGTTTACACAGTTCTTGCATTGTCCAGAGAGTGCTTAGCAAGCTTTCTGTTTCTTATACACCCTTATGAGGTAGGCCCCTGCTGTTCCTACTTTAAAGTTGGGGCACCGAGGCCGAATCTCCTCCCCGCCCCCCAAGACTTCATAATGGAGCCTGGACTTTGGTGGCTGTAGGTCAGCAAGGAAACATTCAGGACTGGGCCTGACATAAGCCAGAAAGTTTCTGCAGAGCTCCCAGCCAGCAAGAAAACTGGGATGTGAGCCAAGCAGGACTAAGAATTCCCTGAAGGAGCAAGTCAAGGTGGGGAGTCACTGCTGTCCTATGTTGACTGGGAAGCCGAGGCCTTAGTCCCGGGCCACACCCAGCTGGATTCCAGTGACGTGGTTTTCCGGCAGCTGACTCCATGCGCACCACAGTGCAGATGACGCGTCATGATGAATAGCAGTCATAAGTGAGGAGTGTAGACAGTTGTTGTTGTTGTTTTGAAAATGCCCCATTTGGGAAGGTCCTTGACTTGGGATGATGGTCCTGATAGGTTCAAAGCTTCCAAGCTTCCTCTTCTCTCTGCAGAGGCATGGTTTTCAGCAGAGTTTGGGAGCTGGCCTGGAATAGGTGCCCTGGCACCGTGAGCCAAATATAGGCTGTGTCAGCTGTCGAGAGAAAGAGAGAATTCCCAAGGCTGGGAAGCGGTTTGAGTTTCCAATCCTGAGGCGGTTTCAGGCTCAGGATAAAAGCCAAGCAGCCCTCGCAGGCTTGGGTGAGAGTGAGAGGGTGGAGGGAAGAAAGCATTTGGTGCTGCTGCACAGCATGGGGAATGAGACTGGGTGCAAGGGCACCCCAGACTCAGGTACCCCTTCCAGTGCCATCCCACAGGGAAGGGCCTTGGCCACAGGGTTCCACTTTTTTTGGGGGGGGGGAGTGATGATTCACACAAACAAATGTGCTTTCCTTCAAGTGATCGCCCAGGCAAGCAGACTCTTGCAAAAAAATGTTCTGGATTATCAAATCCTTCTCTCTAGCAATTCCCAGATGTGAGTGAAATGTGCACATTTTCATTTCAGTAGTCCTGGGAATGTTGCATACAGCAAAGGGGTACAACAGGGAAATGTCCAAGTGCACGTACAGTTTTCACACATGTTTTCCTGTGTTAACTGCAGCATTGATCAAAATGGACTATTCTGGGGGCATTGGACATCTGAAGGTTAGTGGTGTTATCGAAAAAAGTGCGAGCTCTCCTGCGAAAAAGATGCATCCTTTTTTCTTTTGCTTTTGGATCTTGTGGATATGGGAAAGAGCAGAGAGGTATCCAGCACACAGGAGTTTCCACCTCCTCTTGTGGTCAGAGGTGTGGTTGCATTGGGCCATATCTTGTTGGAAAGGGTCTGTCTGTATTGTAGATTTAATATAATTGTAGAGTCAGAAGAGACCCCAAGGGTCATCTAGTCCAACCCACTGCAATGCAGGAATCTCAACATGTGCTTCCCCATCAAGTTTGAAACCATGCTTAGCTTTGCAAATGTGCTAGCAGTTTTATTGCTACATCATCAGGTCTTATCTTTCTCTTCTTTGAGATGGTGTTGGGAGTCTGTTGAACATAGATTTGCTCCAACTGTTGCAAATTTCCATTTGGTCTTACTACCTTTTCCAGGTATGCATCTTAACACCCAGTTCACAGTGTGAGAGTTTGAAGGCATCACTACTGAGCAATCATATAAAGCATTGGGAGCGGGGTGCCCTTTGTCCTTAAATAGGCTCCAGATGTCCTTTGCCTTTTTCCTGCCGTTTCTAAAAGAGTGGGGAGAAACTTTACTCTCTTGTTTACTACTTGTTTAGAAAAGAGGAGCGCCATAGTACTTCTGCAAGAAAGTCGTCCGCCTCTAAAGAAATTTAATTAAACAAAGTTTCAAGAAATACTGGTGATAGAGCAAGTAGGGTGTTGCTCATGGCTGGCGATGATATATGTGCTGTCCAATTGGGACCTACAGCACCATCCCGGGCACGTTCCATAAACATTTGCAATGGATGTGATGTCTGGTGGCCATAAGAGGGAACAGCACTTTCCCTCTGTCAGATCCTGTGATTTGAGTGTTGAGGAAATGCAATATCCCCACCACTGGAAGCACTGACTTGAATTAAGCTCTAGATCCCTATGCAACAAATGAGTGGCAACCGTGCATATATTGCTCTGTAAACTGATATCCTGGAAAGGCCCAGAGCAGTTTACCGCAGGTGGAGCTTTTTGCAGGCTAACAGCTGACTTCCTCAAACACAGGAGGTGGACCAAGAAGGTATTTGAGATGCAGCACAGAGCGCCTCTCGTCCTGGAATCTGTGCTGTTGCTTAGAACAGTTTCCAGTTGCAAAGTGCTTGACACATCCTTGAGAGCCAGGTCGATGTTGTCCCCATTTTATGGCTGGAGACCTAAAGCTGAAAGCCAAGTGATTCAGGAATATAGGAAGCTGCCTTATACTGAGTCAGGCTGTTTGTCCATGTAGCTCAGTATTGTCTAAACTGACTGGCAGCAGCTCTCCAGGGTTTCAGGCAACAAACATTCCCAATCCTACCTGGAGATATTGCAAATTGAACCTGGGACCTTCTGAATGCAAAGCAGATGCACTGCCACTGAGCTACAGCTCTTCCATTTGCTTGGAGGCTCTTGCAGTATTGTATCATGCATATTCAACATAAATGATGGTCATAATTGTTGTTTTTCATTAGGCACCTTGTATATATTGGTAGTAATAGTTACTGTTGCTACTACTACTTACACACTAGCATCAAGTGGTAACTAGCATTTCTAAACCAGTCTGCTGCAGATTAAATTTTTTTGCCAACTATTAACATCACCTCTTGCCCAACATGTTTCCGTGGAGTCAGTTCACACATCAATGTGCAATAAAGGGCATTGAAAATTAAAGCAGTGTGTGCATGAATGTGAGTTGGCCCTGGATTTTTTCCGGATCATACCCAAGCTACCAATACTTGGAGCATGTTGGGTGCCATCAGGCTTACCAGTGCCAGTTGCTCCCCCCACCCTGACTTCTCTGTCTCCTCCCCTCCCGTATTGGCACCTTTTTCCACTTTTGAAACAGGTGGGATCCGGATCTGGAACTTGGCAGGTGCCTGGGGGCTCTCTGGAGGACAACGGTTTGTGATGTCACCTGTTTGCTTTATTCATCTTCTCTCTCCCCCACCCCACCCGCTGCTCTCTCGTTTGTTTTGCTTTGTTTTTGCAAGAACATTTTGTGCCGGCAGATGTGCCAGCTAGCCAAGTTCTGAGAGAGGGTGACTGACGGAGGGTGTTCCAAACTGGTTTTGGCCTCCGTTCTCTCGGGATGGAGGTGGGTAGGTGGACAACAGGAGGATGCCCCCCACTTTGGTTGTGCTATGATACAAGATCACCCCTGCAGACAATAGTAATGCACAAATACAGTTTAATTACTCTCAGAACAACCAATAAACTGGAATGTTGTGCAGATGGCCCTGTATAAATCCACCGCTGATACACTCTTATTGGGTTGGCGTCATGTTGCAGAAGACACCTGCAGAAAACTCCTGACCGGTCTGGAGGAGCACTCTTAGCTGCCCTCAAGAGTTGTCCCAGAGGCAGGACTAAAACAAACTGAAACCAACATGGCGGCTGCGTATTGCGTGGTAAAACTGTCCTGGCGGAGATGTTCATACACTCCCAAGAACAGCTTCCACAATGGCATCTTGAACAGTGCGTGATCTGCGTCATAGGCAGAGAATGTCCACAATTCAAAATGGCCGCCACTTGAGGGCCAGAAGATGCCCAGAGGCCCTTTCACCGCGGTCTCCAAGCCAGCCCACCGCTGTGGCTTCTCTGAGCTTTGGTGGGTCATCTTATCTCCCCACCCTTCCTGCATCCGTTTCTCCTTCTCCTCCCCCCCCCCAAAGACAAGAGCTGCATCCTCTTAGGGAGACGCAGTTTGTTTTGCCAGGGTGACCTGTTTAATCATCTCATTTTCTGGTGGCCGTTTATTCCTTGTTACCACGGTTACGGCCCCATTAAGGGGAGAAGCAATAAGGCAGTGAGTCAAACAGGTAATAAAAACATTAAAGCCATGTGCGTATCGGCAGGGAGGGCAGAGGGGGCGCAGCGAGACGCAACTGGCCCTTGCCGGGGAGGCAGTCAGGTCGGTGCTGGGGTGGGCAGAGGGAGGAGAGCAAGGAGGAAGTGCAGGGTGACTTCTCCAGACTCAAGGGGAATGTGGTTTTTGTTTGTTGGTTTGTTGGTTTTTTAAAGCCACCATTGCAGTGTTTTGTCTATGAAAGCCAGTTCCCAAGGTTATGCCCTCTGTAAAGTGACCAAGCCACGGAGATCAGCAATACAGGAAACTTGCCTAACACCAGATCAGATCCTTGGTCCATCCAGCTCTGTATCGCATACACTGGCAGGCAGGAGTCTCTCCCAGCCCTATCTGGAGATGCCATCGGGGATGGAACTGTGGGTAGAGGGTGGTATAAAATTATTATTATTGTCCTCATTATGATTAACAACAGCAACAACAACAATATCCTGGGACCTTCTGCATGCAAAGCAGATGCTTGACCACCGCATTGTAATAGTCCGTCTCAATGGGGATGGTTGGGGCTATAAGGAATCAGGAGCAGCGTTGGCTCTCAGTAGCTCCCATACAGTTGCATGGAACAAAGTTAAGTTGACTGCTGTCTGGAACGCAGGCTGAGATTTGCCCGGGCGTCATGGGCACTGAATTAAGCCCCCTGCTGCCGAGTTTGCCTCCTTTCCTTACTCCCATAGAAGTGAATGGGTGCCGTTCATGTATCTGGGGGAAAACAGACTGCAGCACTAGGGAACATTGCTGTCACTGGGGGAAATGAGGGTCTCAGCAAACAAGTCCTACTCTGAATAGGCTCACTGAAGTTGATGGAGAAAACTAACTTAGATCTGTGTTTCTTTGAGGT